CCGCAAACCAGTCGTGTCGATGTACGGCAGTTACGGGCTACGTGGTTAATCTTGCCGCATTTGAAGCAACACCTTGCAGCCCTCAGTCGGTTCCGTTTCATATCTGGCGATATATTAGAATCGCAGTCCTGGAGTTGGTGTCCCAGGTTGCCACAAAGTAAGCACGACCCAGGCCCTGGCGTTATCGACGCAGTCGGCAGGGCGAGAGCCGATGGAGAACTGGGATGGGCGATTGAAGGTCGTGTCCCCCTTCGGTCTTCTTGTGGTGGCACAGACGAAGACCACTGACTCCCTCCTTGACTCTCCTCGCGACTTTCTATTTGTATTCGAAGAAACTTCAAAATCGTGGCAACTTCGGTTGTATCTGGGATGCTGATACCGGTCTGGTAAATGCCCGAGTCGTTCGGTGACTCCCTTTCCTTCAGGTTCAGTCTAAAGAGAATAGCGAGGTCATTGGGGAGCGATCTCATAAGAACGCGCTTGAGGACGACTGCGTACTGAGTAGATGGGACGCCTAAGCCTTCAAGACAGCTTGTGCGGAACTGTACAGAGTCATACAGATGTCGCAGCTGCGCAATGTTGTTGGAGCTGTGGACGGGTGCCAACGCTAGCAGTTGGTCGATATGCTCGTCTACCAGAATGCTGTTCCGTCCAAATCTTTCAAAAAGGCTTTTGATAGCGAGCTCGTACCCTTCTTCCGATAGCCTCACCCATTCAATTGCCTGTTTTGCTGGCCCAGTCAGATAAGTCTGTAAATATTTGAATTTTTCTATGCGTGGAAGTTCGACGTTGTCGTGAATCGTCGCTCGAAAATGATCCCAAAACCCTTGCCAGTCCCGGAGGTTCCCCGAAAAAGGAGGTATTTGCAGCTTCGGTAGAGCGACGGTACGCGGTGTTCGTTGAACGGGTGTGTGAGAGGGGCCTCCTGCTCCGGCAGAAACGGAGGCCCTGGTCGCCGATGACGGTAGCGTTGTCCGTGACTTGGGATGGATCGCTGGCGATATGGTTTCGAGCTAGAGCACAACGAACTCGGGTGACGGTGTGGCTGATGTTCATGTTGTACTCTAGCGTGCCGGCAACCTCGTTCTCCAGGCCGTCGTCGTCCACCAGATCGCTGATCTGCTTGTCCAGGTCTATCAGCTGCGCTTCTTTTTGGAGGAGGAAATCGAGGTGTACTTGCAGATCGGTGGAGTCGGGATCAGGGCCTCGTAGTAGATCGGTGAGCATGTTCAGGGTACGGGTAACGGCTGAACGGACGACGGCGCGTGTCCTCTTCATGCGGTCCATGAACGTCGGTGTTCGCGGTGAGGCCGAAGCGGTCCTTCAAAGCCTTCCCGGGTTTCGGCACCAGATGTTAAAGAAAGGAGTAGAACCGCTCCGTACCGTTTGCGTCCATTTTATCTACAAGAACAACTCGATCGCCGGTGCGCCGGCTCGCGAGCCCGCGCTGTAGCCGGGCTCTCCTCTTCTTCTAATATTCAACAGGTGCATTCAGAAAAACAAGGAGGGTGTACACCCCCTTACAGGGTGTGTAGGGAAATCACTGACCGGCGATGCAGCCGAGGCAGCAGATGCCGTCATATTGTCCGCGCCTTTGAGGTGGTAAATAGCTAGTATAAGGTGGTAACGGCTGCAGTTACTCGCTTTGAACTAGCCGTTTTTAGGATATGCCCCGCCATTTCGAAGCGGTCAAATGCATGGGACCTTTCACTCTAGACTATTAACTCTATTATCCCGACAGAAAAGCTTCGTACCCCAACTAAGGGTTTGTGTACTGCACTTTGTGCTAGATGAGGAACCTCTGCGATTGACTAGGACAAAAGAATATTCTGAAATGTGGTTATACAAAGGCGGTTCAATGGCTCTAAGGCACTGCTGGGATCGCGGTAAGACGCCGAATGTCTACAACATGGGGTCAGGGCACTGATAGCAGACGCTATCAGTGCCCTGGTTTCGACTTCAAACCTAACCGGAAGTGACGTCAGTTGCACGAAACTTTTTTTTTTTTGCGGACAACTTTTTATTTGAATCTTGATAGTAAATGGGATGCAATTAATCATGATTAAAATAATATTCTCCTTTATTATTCACCTTGCATTTAAAATATAGTTTTTTTAATATAATAAAGCTTTTATCCTTTAATTTTCGAAAAGCTTGTCTTAAAATATGCTACAGTTTATTCTTTATCGGAAGTTTAAAAAAAATATATAAATTAATTCAAATTACATGTGAACAAAATGCCACCAGTTTGATTGTATTTATAACTATGTACTGATATGGGCTGTGTTGCGCCTAGTTCTTAGTCGTGAGGTTCTTCTAGCCATTCAGACTTGTTAAAATACGCAAATGAATTTTAGATATTTGTTTAGAAAGAACATCGTATTTTTATTGCCGAATGTTTTATCATATCTAAATGTGATATAATTCACTCAAAAATAAGCTATCGTATTAGAGTTGGTCCTTCGAACACGTTCACACTGAAAGTTCAATCTGACACGCCCAAAATACCGCACGACGACACAAGTCTTGACCTGGTGCATAGAAGATATCTTGGTGTTTACTCCATTATGACTATGAGTCCATGTTTTTGGAGTTTATTTCTATTAAAATTCGGAGGATGTCCTACAGATTTTATTTTTAGGTAAAAGTTCGGTGACGGTGTGCATCTGAATTTATTTTTGTTAGATTTCCAGTTTCTGAAATTCATTGTTGACCTGCATTGTCTTCCCAATTTGTTTTAGATTAAAAAACAAAATACACGTAGTGCGAACAAAAACATATCAGCAACTTCGTAAGAACTGACCTGCCTCGAGTGATATTTTTGTAGTTGCATTTTGCATTGGCGCCCTTGCCATTGGTCATACCATACTATAACTATTGCTAAAAGGTGTTGCCTCAGTAACAGTTAATAATTTTAAATAACTAAACTTTAGGACGTAGTTGGTGAGAAGCATGGAATATTCAGCTTAACTCCGCTTCTGTTGAACTTTAAGGATTCATAGCATTTATTGTTATAAAAACACTACCCATCATTTCTGTAAGAAAAACAAATAGTACTGTTCAAACTGCAAACCTAAACAATGGCTTTTGTAGTGACCCAGAGGTCACATGTCTCGTCCTCAACGAACCTGGACGAGGTAAAATGTAGACACCCCTTTTCCAGTAGCCCCAGATTTCAAAGGAAACTGGAGTGGCTTCTCTTTAGGACTACTGGACTTTTAGTCGGACAAAATTTATTTGTGAAACACCGTCTTCTTTTTTTCGTTGTGACATTGAAATTTCAATTTTTCCGATAAATTCGAGCTGGAAAAATTGTGTGAGTAAGTGTTCTTCAGATTTCTTTATTTATCTGAAAATACAGAACACTAATTATAACTCATATCTATTTTCCACATCAGCAATACAGTCCATCAATAGTCATACAAGCAACTATTCTAATAGAAATCATCCGTTGCCAAAACACAGAAGTATAATGCCTGGATCTGTGCCTTGAGAATAGAGGCGACCTTACCGAACATGAAAGCTTGCTTTTGGAAATCGGTATTATTCCGTGCGGCATTATTCCTGTATTTCTCAAAAAAGCATGGAAGTGAATAACCTATAGTAAGATGGGTTTCCACCAGATCTGGTTTTATTGACCTCAATAATACCACTGTGGTGAAGCCAGTATGTCTAAGCCTGAGTTCGTAGTTTTGTCTAAACGATTTATTTAGGTAGTTGTCCAAACCATACCACAAGAAAGCTCATCCGACATTTGTATCTGGTAGTTCTAACACTATGACTTGTGTATGAAAAGAAAAAGGTTTTGTTTAGAATGACTACTTTAAATATATCAATTGTTTAACTCTATAAACTTCAGGAAAGATATAATATTGAGTCATCATTATCAATTATAAAATACACTGACAGATAGCTTGTTTTTAGGAATGCACTGATTGCGGAGCTAGAAATAAAAGTAATGTGTTAGTGTATTTTTTATATTATGAATGAGTACTAGAATTAGGTTGGTTTTTTTATATTTGTTTTAACCGACAGGTAAAGACAACATATTCAATGAAAAGTCTATGTCCGTTGAAGGGGAAAAAGACGACACAAACACTGAAAGGTTCGTGCCTTTTTTTTTTTCCTTCAGCATTTTTTGTTATGTTCAATGTACACCAGCTCGTTTGTGCACTCACATTCAGTTTAAAGGTATTTGAAGTTTATTTTACCGAAAATTATTTATTTTCTTCTATTCGATTTTATTGCAAGCTTTTTATTTCTTCGCCGGAAGGCGGGCTCTTTATATTATTTGTAAGTATAAAAATCACCCCTTCCCCGACAATTTTGGTCAAATTAAAATGAAACAATCATTGACAAATCAATTTATGCCACCTGGCATGAAGATGTTATCGTCATGTATTGAATAATTATCATAAATTGTGACCTCAGCACACAAAAACAAAGTATTTCACGAATCAAAAGGCAACACGCTGTTGACTGTCATGGATAAACAGTAATTTTTTCAACATTTTTTTATCTTCATCTAGACACATTAAAAATTGTAAAGAACAGTAAGGCCCTCCCCAACAACCGAAAAAGTGATTATTCCCCAAAAATTGTTTGGAACTTGGCCGTGAGAAATGTAAATCAATAGTAACCTTAAGATATGATAATGCATGTAGTTGAAAGAGATGTGTGTATACTGTAAATGACCAGGTTTTGTGTACATGAAACAACATTTTTATCGCAGTAAAAATAGTTACTGATCTTCACGAGAGGCAATTTGCCCACCCCTTCAATGCATCAAATGGTCAACGTCGTAGACTTGAAAATTGTTGTGAAACTTGGGTTGCGAGAGTCTGCAGTACTTATGTCAGGGTCACCCATAAATGACCACAGTACGGTGCTAAAATAATAATGTATTCCTAAATAAAAAGTTGAAACATATGCAAGTACTTAGAATTAAAGTGGTCTGATAATTACAGCCTTAACCAAACCAGAGGAACTCGTCGTCTTACCTGGTTGCGCAGACCATCGACATTGGTCTTGAGTTGGTCCAGTCTTTGCCGGAGCTCCTCGACCTTCACTACAGTGTCTGCCAAAGACTGCAGCTGTAAAATAGTCGGCCATTTGCAGCAGTTGGCACTAAATAAAGTGGGGCTGTTGTACATAAACCAGACCATTTTAAGTGGTAAATCCACCTAAAATTAAAAGAATTCGATTACACTTGAGCGGGGCCTAGTATTAGAAAATACATTTGTAAAAATAACTGCCGGCGTCCTACCAACGAACACACCAGTGATGCTAATCTATAACATTATTCACAACACCTAACCAATGCTACTTTTTTAAAGACCCCAAAAAATGTATAACGTCTGGTAGGTATTTTTGTAATTAACTAGTTTTATGACGAAAATCCCAGGAGAAGGAGAAGGAGGGGGACAAAGGAGAAACACAAATTTCCGAACACAGCTATACCCGTTTTCACCTCAAGAACCATAGTAAAAAAAGTTCGGCTCCTCGCGGAGCATGACTAGTTCCCCTCGTTACGCTGAGAATTGAGACATATGTAGGTGTATTTTAGATTAGATACGTGTTCTCTTATCAAGACGTACACGTTTCAAACGCCAAAAGCATCGCTTCTTCCTCCGACGACCAAATTTTGTGAGAACTACCTCGCGCGGCGTAGGAACATGGAGCAAAACTTCTTTTTTTCTTGAGGTGAAAACGGGTATAGGAGATTGGTGCGCGGCCGAATAAATCCGCCTGGTCCTAGAATCGAACCAAGGACCTCCCCGTTTCCAGTGGAGCGCTTTACCAACTGAACTAACTAGGAGTTTGACGTCACTATAGTGCGAACGTGTTTTATCAGCTGCCACCAGTCTAACGCCAACAACGGTGAACGGCCTGCATTTTTAAGTTTTGTTTTCTAAGTCATTATTGTTCAGCTCGCTTCCACCTTTGCATTTAATTGCATTATCACAATAAACTAGTTTCATATCAGAAGCATTTCTAGTTAATTCATGCTGCACACAACCCTTAATTGGCCCTTGAAGGTCACACCGGCTAAACATTATTTGTGCCAATAGTCTAAATTTATTTAGTTTGCCAAATCGGCACGTTAACTTAAGCGCTCGTGGCGTAATTACTCAATCATAATGATTCGGAGCACTAGAACTAATAAATACTGCCCTTTTGTCGAACTTATCTTACAGGAAGTGCTGAATCATCGTTCAAAATCAGTGTGCTGGCGTGTTCGCGCTAAATTAATCCGACGTTCCATGGAGAGGTCCGACATTGATTAGTTAGCAGTGATATATTTCTCCTGTATGTATCACTGCTAACCTATCAACGTCACATTCATGCTCGAATTACTTTGAGTAAAGGGGTGCGAAGAATGGAATTTCAACACCAAATGAATTCAAATCGAACAGTGACGAAAAGTTGTCAAAAAGCAAAACGTTGAACCAAATAACGGGCACTCATTTTTCATTTGCAATATTCACAGGGCAAAAGAAAAGGAAGCCGTATATATAAGGAAAAAGGCCCTACGTGTTTAGTTTCTTGCAGGACATGCGGAAGGGAGATAAGCTAGCACGAATGAAAGCGGTGTTAATGACCATATTTTAACGACGAAGAGCTGATGAAGGTGTCTCCTTATCCACGTCTGGATATACACAACGTGATGGGTAACCTTGCTTTGGCACCTTGTTGTAGTCGAGGGGAGCGACGGGTCAAAAAGGGCGGATGAATAATCTATGTGAGTTGTATATTGATAATCATTTTCATTATCTAATAAACATAGTATAAATTGCTAAACACAACATATAGTACACATAACATACATAAGAAGAAACACATTTTTTCAGGACCCGATTTCAGTTGATTCCTAACATCCATCAATTAACCTGATCCCTGCGAGGTACTGAAACCCATAATTTAGGAGATAATCCTTCTAGGTCTCTCTAAGAAAACCCGTTTTTTTTTTACTATTTTCCCGACTAATGGCCAACATAATTAATAATCAACTTTTTCCAAAACGTCAACAAAAGATAATGACAGGTTCGCACGCCCAACCTTGATGAAACCAAGATGGAGGTTCTAAACACCCCGAAGGGACGAGGACTTACCTGATCAGAAGTCGCCGAAGGAGCCAGCGTTCGAGAGGCCTCCGCAACCTGAAAATAAAAATAGGCATGTCTCTGAAATCTAAAACGATTCTAAGCGGTTGGGCTGCGATAAAACATTCTGCCACTTACATGAAAAACAAAAACACCGAACAGGAGTTTATATCATAGTTAAAAAACACAGCCACGTGGCTGGCTCGAAGGAATCGCTTAACTGATGTCAGATCAAGTGTCGATGACCAGGAACACAACCCTCAAGGCTTAAGCTCTCTGTAGCACAACAGAATTTGGTGGTGTAGATGTAAACAGTGAACACTCAGTGAAATATAATTTTATGGCTGCTATTCATAAATGATTACATTTCGGAAACTCGGCCGTCTTACTGCCTCGAGCGAATGCTTTTGCTTATTTTTCATTTCAAATGAAAAAAAACCACCCGGCTAAGTAATGAAACAATATTTTGGATATCTTAACGTTCCACTTCATAGCATCGCACAAACAAAAATATTTGTAGCATGCAGGGATGGGCAAAATACATGCAAATATGTATCGAAATACAAATACAAAATACTTCGTGAAAAATGTATTTAATTACAAATCTAACTACATTTCCAAAAAAACATTTAAGTACAAGATATGAATACAACCAAATGTATTTCGTCTCCTCCAAATACTTTTCCAAGTACATTCCTCAAAATTTGCGTCAGCGACTTCAGTGCACCTGCAACGGGTTTCTGGGTATCTCATTTTAATTTTGCATCGCACACTCGGGAGTTAGTGTGCGAGGTTCTAGTAACGGTAATAGAAATATAATCACAAAAAAAAAAAAAATGTAATCAGCTTGGACGTAATAGGTGAAAAAGTACAGAGCTTCAAGCAGTTCTCTTTGTCGATTACATTTTGGTATAGACCAACAAAGAACCGAGACGACCAAGACGCGCAGCACTGGCTAGAGAATTTTTTATTGTTGCAACTCGCACCAGTTACGAAAATCTGGACGACCCGCGCATTTAGAATGTTCCAGGCAAAAATATGGATGGAAATCAGGCTGGAAATCATGACAAGTTGTCGCAGGCACTTATTTAGCCAGTCTGCCTGTGAACGTCGATTTCGTCACTATTCTTGTCCTGGACTAGCACCGTAATCACAAAGTCACTAAACGCTTGTGCGTGATTGAGAGACACTGCATTCGGTACAGAACGTAGTTTTCTTTCTGCTCTGTACAGTGACAATAAATTTGAGGAATGTATATTCGCCCACAAAATTGTATTTAATTACAATTGTCTTTGAAATACCCACGTTTTAGTATTTAAATACACACGTCAAATACATTACCCAATTTGTAATTAAATACAAATGCAAAATACGCAAAGTATTTGAAATACGTATTTCAAATACTTGCATTTCAAATACTGCCCATCCCTGGTAGCATGTTAGTAGATTTTGCTATTGAGCAGAGACAGGTGAAAAACACGCGCGAAATGGAATTTGATGACTTGACGGCTTAGGCAACCTGCGTAAAGGTTGGTTCAGATGTTCGCGTTAAAGCGCGACCAACTGCGTTACAACTTTGTGCGTTCCACAACTATGCGTTAAGCTGTGCGTTCAATGATCAACGCTCTCCAGCAAACCTCTATGGTGCTCGACGTTCTTAAAGCACATACACCAGCGGCTACCTGCGATAACGACGAGCTTCGTTCGCCAGTTGCTGGGCATGCAGATATTTACGCGAGCGCATGTATGCTCCAAACGCTGGTGAACTGTTTGTAAGAAGAACTGTAACCCGACGTAAACAGCGAACAAATCAACTCGATAGTCTGCGTAGGCCGCATCAAGGGGCGAAAGCCGAATATTCTGCTGAAGAACTCAAGGGCTCTGAACTTCAAAACAAATGTCGGTTTAAAGTGCTCGGCTATGACACCTTTGTCGCAAAACAAAATTCAATCGATAAACAAATCAATATTTACGTCATGAGACATATTTTGTGTTAGGAGCGATCACAAACGTGCTTTTACCCGCATTTCAGACGTTGACTCTAAAATAGAATCATGTTTATAATGATTTTTAACGCTACCCTCCAAACCCAAAATGTACTCTGTCCACTCCGTCCGTTTTTCTGTCTCTCCGTCCGCCCGTACATTTTCCGCTAAATTTAGTGGTGAATGTGACGTCACGTTACGTCACCTTGCGTCACGTGACATCTACACCTCGGGGAAGTTGACGGCACGTGACCTATACGTCAACCTAGTTTCCCCTCAAAATTTGGCGAGAAAATTCACGTCTTGTAGCCAGAACATCATTTCAGTCTCCCCGCTAAATTTAGCTGAAAATTGACATCACGTGACCTATTCATTAATTCAGTCACTTGCGAAATTTAGCGGGAAAGTTCACGTCTTGCGACCTAGACACCAATCCAGTATTCCCGCTAAATTTAGCGCGGAAAATCGACGTCACGGGACCTGACGTCACGTGACCTATAACCGTTTAGTTTCCCCGCTAAATTTAGCTAGAAATTGTATGTCACGTGACGCACCAATTCGCTCACCAATTCCATACATGGTTTTAGATAAGATCTAAAACCATGTCCGGTGACCATTTTTTAATTTTTATGATAAAAATACATTTTGCTGGCTCTCATGCCCAGAAAAACAAAACCAATCCTTGTTTCGAAAAAACAAATTAGTCTTTGAGAAAAAAAAATTTGTAAGGACCCTCTCCGTCACGTGCACGTTTTGTGTATCGCGCGAAGTCGGTATTTCGGGCGACTTCCCCAAAAAAAATCTCTTCTGGCTACGCATCTAGAAATATTTACTGACAAATTAGGCAAAGTAATGATCGACAAAAAGTATTAATCACCGACTATTAGGTTTGTTATTTTGAGAAACAAAATCGCAAATATGACACATTGCGCCATAACGCTCTGGATTAAAGACGCTTTCTTTTTCTGTATTTATAAAAGCTAAAGTCTGGAAACGTTTACAGTGTGTTGCTCTTTATATAGTTCATCTGTGCATTAAGTATTGTTGTTCTGGTTAGCGGGAGAAATTTACAAAAATGTGCACACAGGGGCATTTAACTAAATGTGCATTTTTTCGAAAATCATTTAAAACAAAAGACCACACTCGATATTCCTTAAACTCTCCGAAATTAACGTTTATAATATTTACAAACAGAATCAGCAAAAACATAATGCAGTATTTGTGTGGCTTTTAACTTATAAAGCTAAAAATATGGCCAAATTGACGTTAACGCGGTTGCCATAAATGGGGCGTGCACATACCCGTTCTTCACAATTGCATTATTATTAAAAAGCGTAAAAACGTTACGGGTGGTCAGGAAAATACAAACTGACAGTACAGAGGTGGACGGTAGTTTTGAAGGGACAATTCCTAATACATTTTTGTATTAGGAATTGTCTTGTATTAGGAATTGTATTAGGAAACACCGAAGGACCTGTCCTTCGGTGTTTCTACTGAAAAACTGAAGGACAGGTCAGTGCTTTGCTGCCCCGGTGGCGCGCCAGAGATGAAGGCTAGTTTCGAAAGTGTCACGAAATCAACATGCCATCCGACACAACACAGACAACATGCAACAAGTGCCGCGGAGACACTCACTTGCAATCCCGAATTCCTCTCCTATAATTTTGCAGCGGTTGTTCTTAGCGTCAGTATATAGGTAGTCTGGCTGCGTCTTGTCATTTAAAAAGGAAAACTGTCGCACAGTTTCAAGAAACCACTCCGTTGCGGAAGGCATCGGGGGGAAATAGGGATAGCAGACGACACGAAACACGTCCTTCGAAACGCGGAGGGTCGGTTTGAACTTTGCCATGGTATCGCGACGTCACTATCTACGCCACCTCCCATTGGCTCCTCTCTTCTGCGGCGAGAGGCGCCGAGTTCTGAAGTCGAAAACTGGTTTGGGTCGGCAAACGGCAGCACCGACCGTCGCGCCGCAGGCCTCCACAACGCCAATGTGGTCGTGCCTTGATGCCCGCTTCAGACGGGGCAATTTCCCCCAGCAACTTGACGTCGCAACACCTGCAACACGGGCCGCCCGCGTTCACAAGCAGCAATCGAATTGCTACGACTTGTCATCACCATCTCAAAGGGTCTATTTCCAAAAAAAAAAAAATAATAATTTCAAACCAGAACCAAGCCTTTAGTTGTCGTCATCACCAGCACGGGCTAACACGTGAAGATGTTGCGTCCCTGATTGGCCTGCTGCCGCTTCAAACGTCTTCGAATTGCTCCGAGTTGCTCGCTTGTTTCGAGCCGGACCCGATCTCAGCAATTCGTGTCGATCTAGGGGAAGCTAGGGAACAACCCGCCAGCAACCTCAAAATTGCTGGAAAAGTTGCACCGTCTGAAGCGGGCCTCGGAGCTGGGTGTCGTGTGGCCCAAATCTGCCGCATGGGCCTGGGGTGGCGCCACCGGTTACAGCGGGGCCAGGAGCTCGTGGTCAGACAGCGTTTAGCGAGGCTGGCTTGGGGCGTCTTGGGGAGCCTATTTCTTTTTGTTTTGAGTAGTGTGAGAAGCGATAAAATATTGCGTGGCTGGCTAGCTGTGTCGAAGAGACAAGGGACTCGCGACGATGTCGATTGCGGCGAAGAAAAGACGGTGCGCTGGTGTTTCGTGCCAAGGTGCAACGTGGGTTTCAACACATGCGAAAAGAAACACTCCTTATTTCGGACGCTAAACGACACCTCTCTGTTCGCAAAATAAAATCATCTGATTAAAAAAAACTGTCATAGAGTAAAAATTTAGGCCTAAGAAGAACGTGTGACCGGTGTGAAATGCCTGAGAAAACAAATTCCCTCATGTGGGATTGCTCTTCAATAAAACCGCAATTGAAGTTCCTCACTTTATCTGGCCCCTCTTGATGTTTATCATCGCATGACGCGTGCTCACTAGATGAAATACATTCAGACATTTTCTGGTTTATAAGATTTGCCTTCGAATGCAGAAGTGAAGAAAAGCTCGCTTGCATTCATACACCAGAAAGAAAACTAGGTGCGCGAATGTAAAGCTGTTGAAAATTAGAAGAGCTCTGAAACTTAAGTGGAAAGGAATGCCCATCGCATCGCATACCATACTCAAGCTTTACATTCTTAATGCTGATATGTAACGTGAGGTAGACAAGAAAATAAAGAAGCGAGAATATGTAAGTAGCTGACCGCTCCTAAACGGCTTTGGCACTTGGAATATAAGGTTCTGCCGCTCGCGCAAGTCGCTTTGTTTAACCGGGTGTGAGATAGGCTGTAACGCATTCTTTCTCACAGAAGAGCGGACAGAAACAAAGAATACGACCATTTTCAAGCTGAATAAAGCGTCTCTGCTGCGACCGGCAGGCCCCTGTCAGCCGTCGAGCGGCCACGCAAGATTTTTGCAAAAAGAGCTTTCTGGCCGCCGCCATTTTGCGAATTGAGCGACCCCTATCCGAAAAATTTCTGCCACCGACCTGCGCTGTGGAAGCCCGGTCAGCGCGACTCCCCACCTGCATTGTGCATTCTGAGTTCATCGGCTTTTCTTGGAAGTTTTTACTTTATTCGCCGTTTGGGATGCTTATGCTTTGTTTGTTACCTTCCATTGTGAGAACCAGAGAATACCAGGGCTCATCATGTCGTATTACACCTGAGACTGCGGTGGAAGAAATCGGAAGAACTTTCAGTAGAAGGAACAGACACAGAGAACGTCTGTCTGTTCCTTCTACTGAAAGTTCTTCCGATTTCTTCCACCGCAGTCTCAGGTGTAATACGACATGATTAGCTACCACCAGCTCGCCTACACTCTCACCGTCTTTTCAATACCAGGGCTCGTAGCCTCCTTGGTCTTCGCAGGAAACGAACGAAGAGAGTGAACGTCAAGCAGCCCGCGACGCAGGCAGTTCGACGCTCTTGGAGGATTATTTTCGTTCAGAAAATCTCCAAAAGGCTTCCCGGCTATGTTCCGTGTCTTCACGAAAAATAGCTGATAGGGTTGGTTCCGGGGTGTGGCGACGGCGTAGACACGTTCGTTCATTTGTTTTGAAGCTGTGCAAAAAAGCAGCTCTCTTTTACATGTGCCCCAAAACACGCTGGATTCCGTCCGATCGTCGTGAAGTGACTATCGTCGACAATGTGCATTGGATATGCTGTGTTATTTGAGACCTTTCTCAAATCCTGTTCGGATAACGCGCCACCGTGGGGTACGTACAATATATGTTGTTCGATTGATGAGACTCGTTAATGTTCATGTTGTGGGCGGGGAATATCCATGCAGTTCGGATATCCTGTGTGGTCAAATATTTTCGACGGTTAAAATCTTTGTAGATTGACATGGCTGAGTATATGGTGCGCCGACGCAGAAAAAGAACAACATAATATGAAACCAACAGTCGCATTTGTTCTGTCGCGCACGGAGTCACCAAAACAGCTTTCATTTCGTTGTTTTTGTTCCCAAAAATAGTGCAATGCATTCTTAAAAATCCCAAGAAATTCTATTCGACATAGAACACAAAATGAAAAATAGAACGCGGCAATTTAGCCTCAACCAGCGTCCGGAAGTGTGCCTACGCAGGCTGCCACAGCCCACTGACCAGAAAACCCACAGCCCAGCGCAGTCGGGCAACACTGACGTACACTCTCAAAACCAGGGATGCGCGCTGTAAACCGCTTCGTTCGAGACTGCCGCTGCCAGAGTTGCGCGTCTGTTTTCCACGTGCCGCCGCGCCGCCACTCGCCGAGATCCGGTCACGTGAGGAGCCGGATCAAGTGCTCTGCAGGAAAGTAGACGTTGCGCGCGCCCCGCCTTACGTTCCCCTGCTTTTTAGCGCGACGAGCGCTTCGAACGCGCGGCGACGCTATTCGCCGATTTCAGTCAAGTGAGGAGGACGATCAACATGCTGTGCAGGAAAGGCTGCGCTACGGGGATGAGCAACTCGCGCAACTCTAGCGGGCCCTTAGCGCGCGCGCCCTAGGGAGCCTTCATGTAGCGCGCCGTGTTCCGCACCGCCCTCACCGGCGTGCTTGCACATCGCGACCCTCTCACGGCCGCCGGAAAGCACACCTTTCCGTTCAAGTACACCCTATCATGAATGACTGTTTCTGTCCTTGTCGTCGTCTTCCAAAGTGCCTGGTGTCATATTTATCCAAGTGTCTCTTGTCTGAAATCGCCGTGCGCGAGTGTTGCATTCCAAAGACAGGGTGTCTTCTGTTTCACTTCAAAGCTTATGGTATCTTTTGGTGTTGTTTTTTCTCGACGCTTCCCGCGTGACGCTTCTTATAAAGAAATGTATCTTTTGGTTGCGTTCCAGGGGGCCGGTTAACATTCTTTTGGGTGTTTTGAAAATACCAGGACTCTAAGAACATGCCTTTTCGGGAACTTATTTCTTCGTCGAGAATGATGGGGTATTGAGGATGATGGTGTGGTTTCTCTGCTCAGCATGATTGGCTAATCCGCTCCCCTGTGTCATTTTTAACATCATTCTGATGCCTGCGTAGTCGTTCCGGAGTTTTTAATCTCCCCAACGTACGACCACGAAATATCCTGTAAATACATCCCCGCATTTTTTTTTTTTTTTTGACGATTTTTTGGAAGTAGCAGACGACGGCCGATCGATAGTCGATACTAGTTCGTGTGTCATAGTGATGCCGTACTTCCGCATGAGGCGAGGAAGTGTCTCGCTTGTGCCCTTGACGTAAGGGATGCACGTACGGCTGAAAGAAGAAACGGTGGCTTCTGTTCTTGGATTTCAAAGTCTCCTCTAAGTCTTGTTCAAGAATCTGAATGGGTATCGGTTATTTTCGAGGTCCTGTTTGATCACAGTGATTTATTTTTTCAAAGTCTCTTCGATAGAGCAAACCGTGATGGCCTGCCTGAACACTGCAGAGGGCACTGACGACTTGTGTGTCATAGGATGGTCTGACATGAAGATCAGGTATGGGCCGGTGCGTTTTGGTTTTAGGCATACATTGTAAGTCAATCAATTAGACCACCTCACAGTACGGGCGTCCAAGAATGGCAAACAGCCTTGCGACTCGACCTTCATAATGGGGTTCCTTGAAGGGTGCAACGTAAAAAAAAGTTAAGTTTTCTTGCTGTCTGTATGGCTGTATTCTAGTTTGATATGTACTTTTGATACCTCTTTCTATCATATGTTTGTAACAATCAAACAGGAGTGACTAGTGTGTAATTGCGGCTTTTTTAATGAAAGCCGTAGCTGTTTCAGACGTCGTGTGTGGTTTCAATGTCGGAGTTAATAGGGTCTCAGGTTTATCATAGGCCACAATATGAGGGAACTACAATGAACCGGGCACGTTTGTCATCCAGACAAGGTTATTCACTGTCGCTAGTTGCGTAGCAATTTTGTATAACATGAAAAGAATAAGTTCGGGTTTGTCTGGAACATTGGCCCAATGATGTAGCAGCCACATTGCCTATACTGTGACTATCTTCCTAAATAAAAATAGAAGCATTCACTGCTATACTATGCGTAGCTAATGTAAGTGAGGGTAGCTCGAATTGGTACTATATAGACTTCATTTCTAGCTTTATGAATCAAATTATTATGAAGACGCACATTTAAAGAAGGCTCTTACAATATCAGATAGTATAATAGGAGCAGGGTATCTTTTTCGGACCCTAATTAGCCTCCAGCAAGAGCTCGGTGACTTTTGTTGTGCTTTGGCGGTTCGAAGTTGAAGAGGCGCCGTAGCGCTGTTGGAGGCAGGAAGCTCGTGCTGGAGGCGGGACCACTGAGACACCTCCCTGCCGTTTTTATACTGCAATTATTAAGTTATTATTGAAGTGCATAAAAAAAGAAGGATGCCGCAGCAAGACAATTTCGGTGGTGCAGAGACATTTGAAAGCCACGTACCGAGGCCATGGCGACAGCAAGGTCCTTGCCATTGAGAAGAATGCCTCCACTGCCGGACTGAAAGCTGATGTTTTTGTTTCGTGCGGCCTCGAAGACCAGGTGCCCGTCTTGCACTCGCACACGTGGCCTGTGAACAGAATAAGAAATAGACAGCATTACTTTTTTTATGCGCACTTGCTGAACAACAACAACAAGAAAAAAGGTTTAGTTAGAACCGGCGCCAAACATAAAATATTTTATATTACTGATTCAGAAACACCTATATCCTATATCTGTATATCCTATATATCAGAAACACCTAAGCACATATATTCCTGTTCGCACATTATCATCCAAAAATAATTCTCCTTGGTACAACACCAGACTTAAACGACTTTCCAATAAAAAGAAACGCCTCTTTCTTGTAGCCAAACTTTCAAAACAAGATAGTCATTTTAACGCCTATCACTGCGCCGAGCAGGAGTATAAACGTGCAGTATTAGAAGTAAAACGCAATTTTTTTTTTTTTTTTTTTGCTAACACGTTGCCCACAATTTTATCTACAAATGTTCGTCACTTTTGGAATTTAATCAAACTTAATGATAACCACGGTGATCTGAAGCTTAATAATAATAATAATAATAATAATAAATATTTATTTTCAAGTGCCCAAAAACAACCAACAGGTCTTTTCTTTGGTACACATAATAAATGAGGAATTAAAATAGCAGAGACATGGCAAAAATACACAAACGTTACGAATTGGCAACAAGTACTTTCCTTTTCATCGCGAACACCCGAGAGTCGCTAAATATATCCACTTCAGCATTGTTGATGCGATTAAAAAGCAGTTGGCAGCGTGATAAAGGCGAGAGGTCACAGACAGTATTAATGAAAAAAGTACAATGATTTCTAGTGGGTCGGGAGGGAACATTTAAATTAACATCACTTGAAAGCGATCCACAATCAGATACACCGTTTACTAACTTATGAAAAAAGGCTAAGTCACGTTCCGCTCTTCTATCGGACAAGTTTGTCAACGAAACTTTTTTAAGAAATTCATAATCAAAATAGAAGCGACGATGAGAGTATCGATCATACACAGTGCGTATTAACCTCTTCTGTACATTTTCAATGTTCAATGCCTGAGTTTTATTTAACGCATTCCAAGCTACTGAAGCAAATTCAAGTCTAGACCTGACTAGGGCACAAAATAACCGAACCAAGGAAGCCGGGTTATTAAAGTGCTTCGTAATACGAGATATAACGCCAAGCATTCCTGGTGCACTGCCAACGACAAGTGACACATGGGCAGTAAACGTTAGAACACTATCAAGGTATACGCCAAAGTCTTTTATAACAGAAAGACGTTTGATAGGCATCCCCTCTAAAACATAATCGCAGTCTATTATGGTGTGACGCCTTGAGAAAGATACGACTTTTGTTTTCAATGGATTCAGAGATAAGTTATTCGCTGTACACCAAATAGCAATCTGTGAAACATCATGCTGTAGAGCGTTGTAGTCGATAGAAGAGTGAATATTCATAAAAAGCTTGATGTCATCAGCAAACAACAATATTTTAGCGTTATCAACGTATGACGGCAAGTCGTTGATGAATATCAAAAACATTAACGGGCCAAGGATGGAGCCTTGTGGGACACCAGATGTGGAAAAGAAGTGGTCGGAATGACTGTTATCTACACGAACTGTGTTCCGTCGAGATGATAAATAACTACGGAAACAGTTACATAGCTATGGGCAACAACCATATGACGATAATTTGTGTAACAGCAATTCATGGTTTACTTTATCGAAGGCTTTAGACATGTCAAAAAAGATACAATCAACTTGTCCTCTGTTTGTAACAACAGGGGCAGAGTAATTTAAAAAAGAGCAAAGATTTGTTTCAACCGAACGTTTCTTCAAAAAACCATGATGACACTCTACAAACTTATGCCGAAAATAAAAAAGAATCCGGGAATACATAACCCGTTCAAAAACTTTAGAAAATCCAGATAGCAAAGATATTGGGCGGTAGTTGCTTTTCACAGACGCACATGGGGAACGAGTAGGTCAAGATGAGTGTGCATCATTGCTAAACGATATATTTATACAATCTTTTTCTTCCACCGATGTTTCTGTGTACCCCAACTTTAATGGCACTGACTTTTTGCCAATTAATCCAATATTAATATCATATGATGGTATAGCTGCAATAATTAATAACCTCAAGCTCTCTTCTTCATCCAGTATTGACATTATTAACTCAATCCTTAAAGAACACGAAGTCGTATTCATCAGGTATACTATCAATGATTTTTAAGCAATTATTGGAGGAAGGCTGCCTTTGCTAAGACTGGAAAGTTGGAAAGGTGACTCCAACTCATAAAAGTGGCAACCACTCCTCACCGAATAACTTCCGGCCAATTTTTTTTTACATCCATTCCTTGTAAGATACTCGAACATGTCATATATTCTAACCTCGCCTGTTTCCTAGAACCGAATTATTTTTTTTTTCACCCAACTCAACACGGCTTCCGCAAATCATTTTCCTGCGAAACACAGCTTATATGCTCTTCACTAATAAGCTTCATTCTGTCATTGACCGTGGCTCCCAGATAGACTGCGTTTTCCTTAATTTCTCTAAGGCCTTCGATAAAGTTTCTCACCGGCTACTCCTATTACAACTTACCAACCTCAACACGGATCCGAACGTGCTACGCTGGATAGAATCACTTTTAACTAACCGTTCTCAATTTGTGCATGCCAATGGTACTAACTCTTCAGTTTCTCCCGTCTGGAGTCCCTCAGAGTTCTGTTTTAGGTCCGCTACTTTTTCTCATCTATATTAATGATCTGTCTGAATGTGTCTCCTTTAATATTAGTTTATTTGCTGATGATTGTGTACCATATAGAGAGATAACAAATAACACCGACATCTCTGTTCCCCAATCTGATATTAACTATGTATCTAACTGGTGCGACAAGTGGTTGATGCAACTCAACCTTAATAAATGTAAATCCAAGAGAGTTTCCCGCCATACTAACATATGCTAGAATTACTACATTGACGACACTCCGCTTCAGCCTGTGTCCTCTTACAAATACTTTGGTGTTTATATAACCTCCGATCTTTCCTGGGAAACTCACACGAACTACGTAACTAACAACGCCAATCGCATGATTGGATGCTTGGATATCTCAAACGAAATTTTTCCCAGTCATCAGTGTCACTAAAACCCTTTTTATATACTACTTGAGTACGCACTAAACTTGAATATGCATGTTCTATCTAAGACCCCGGTCATAACACTACCATTGCAACATTGGAATCAGTTCAAAATCGTGTAGCACGTTTCATACTTTCTAATTACCATCGTACATCCAGGATTACTTCAATGAAAAATAGCCTTGGTTTAACCACACTAATGAACCGTAGACGCATTTTTCGCCTGACTGTATCTCATAACATTTACCATAAAAACCCTTTCATGCGCCGTGAACTTCTAACTCCACCTACTTATGTTTCATCCCGCGTAGATCACCAGTACAAAGTCGGTATCCCCAATTACAAAACTAACACTTATTATAACTCCTTTGTTCCTCGCTCTAGCTCTGAGTGGAAACGCCGTTCCGCTGACATAGCCTCCATAACCTGTATTGTTGATTTTAAAAATGCCTTCTTTTCTAGTTGGTATTACTGTTATAAATTGTGTAAATATTTTGAAAGTGTCTGAGCAAGCGTGCATTGTTTACTGTATTATAAATATCAACAACTGTACATTTGTCACTTGTCCCCTCCCACCCCCCCACCCCCCTTCCCCCACTCTCCTCTGTAATGCCCTTCGGGGGCCTTGAGTGTAAATAAATAAATAAAATAAATAAACCTCTTTTTCCAGGTAGCACAGTTCTTTGGGCTAACACTTGGCTCCTGTCCTCACAAAAGTTTTTCTTTGGTTTTCGCTTTGTTTTGGATAAATTTTGCCTCATATTCCTATGTTGTTTAAAAAAAAATAAAAAATGAAAAAAAACAGTAAAATTGTACACAGATACTAACTCTATTACTCCTTAACCTTGAAAAAAACTGTAGAAACGATGTTCATTTTCACACTATTGAACTTGTACTTTTTACTGAAACAAAATAAAAAAAAACAAGAACGAAGACAAGAAAATGAAAACTCAGGAACAAAAAAACATAATTACCGTATGTAGAAGAAAAGAGCACAAACATATTACTAGTTCTTGATCAAGCCCGCTTCCTTAGCTAGGGTATAGCTTTAAAGATCTAGTTTTATTTTGCCCCTCAATTGGTATTACTTGTCAAAAATAACATTTGGTAGACTCGCCACCTCTTTTTCAAATTGGCTCTTAAACGATTGTGCCTTCCTAGGTGGTACCGATCGAGGTATACTATTTTTAATTAATTTATCTTCTTCACTTTAATTTATGTCCGCAATTAAGGGTCCTGAACGCCCAAAAAAAGCCAAGATATAACCCGGCCAATTTCAAATTTGATATTCATTAAACAGAGCCTCGCTTTTTTGGGTTGTGCCAAAGTTAGACTTCGCTGCTTGGTTCTTCGGCTGCCACCTGAATTCATTGGACCTCAGTTACCAAGGAAACGTCAGAATTGGGTTTCCTTTCTGGTTGTTTGGCTTTGGGCTGAAGTTGCCAAACCAGTTCCAGAATTGGGCTTCACCACGTGTTGCTTAGCTGATACGTGGCATCTATGGCTTATGTCTGTGTGATGATGTGACTCAGTGTGCAAAAGAAGAAGTGCAAGTCAACCCATGGATCGGCCCGGAAGGAGAAGGAAGATGAAGAAGGAAAGAGATTGGTAGTGCGTGCACGGAGCGCGTGAAAACGACTGGCGGGGAGAACGTGCTGGGTGGGAAGGACTAGGAACGACGATCGGCCAAAGCAATTGGCGACTCGCTCCTACTGTCTGACCAGCAGCCTGTTCCAACGAGGCAGCGGATAAAAATCTACGCTGCCCGGCTTCCTACTGCGCGAGCACTTGATGCGGTGACTCTTGGGTCATCGACGGAAGCCAACCTCTCCCGCTCCTGACTGCCTGCCACAACCGTGGGCCGACAACGACAACTCCACACACAAGACCCGCTGCTACGCATGGTTGTTCCAAGAC